TTTTTCTTGAATAGCAAGCAAATATATTTGCTTCAGTAAGTTTTATACAATAAGAATTAAAGGTAATATTCAGAATCAGAATCAGAAATTTTGTTAGCATGGAAATATTTCATATTCTTTGAAAAAAGATTGTGGCCCTGAAAAGGGCCTTTTGCTTTTGGGTGTTCTGCATACATCAAGCTAAGATTTACTTGGAGCTAGTGTACTTGGTAAACTGCCTTTGTTCCTTCACTGACAGCGTGCTTGGCCAACTCTCCGGGCAACAGAAGACGGACTGCAGTTTGGATTTCCGACTGGTAATCGTAGAACGTTTTTGTTGTAGTGGGCAAACGAGAGGCTTCAGCAGCAATACGCTCAAAAATGTCGTTCACAAAGCTATTCATGATGCTCATGGCCTTTGACGAGATTCCAGTGTCAGGATGGACCTGCTTTAGCACTTTGTAAATGTAGATGGCGTAGCTTTCCTTCCTCTTACGCTTCTTCTTCTTATCATTCTTGGTAATATTCTTCTGGGCTTTGCCAGCCTTTTTGGCGCCTTTCCACTTGTCTTAGGCGGCATGATTGTTATTATTCACTCAAGTTCACTTTAACTCACTCCACAAATGTTTGACAGAAGCACACAAATGCTTAACATTTATAGGTTTTTTTTGTACAACGTTTTCATGTTTGCGAACAGCACAACTCACCTCGTTTACCTGAAAAAGTAGGGTAGTGGAAAAAAGTATAAGTTGTCATATTGTTGAGAGGGCTGGGCATTCGATATCTGTTTGTGCAAGTGTTAAAGTGAAAAAAAAAAGAATTTTAAGAAATGTCTGGCCGTGGTAAAGGTGGAAAAGTTAAGGGAAAGGCAAAGTCGCGTTCGAACCGCGCTGGCCTTCAGTTCCCCGTTGGTCGTATTCACCGTCTTCTTCGCAAGGCAACTATGCCGAGCGTGTTGGTGCCGGTGCTCCAGTGTACTTGGCGGCTGTTATGGAATACTTGCCGCTGAAGTTTTGGAGTTGGCTGGTAATGCAGCCCGCGATAACAAGAAAACTAGAATTATCCCTCGCCATCTGCAATTGGCCATCCGCAACGATGAGGAGTTGAATAAACTGCTTTCAGGCGTCACTATTGCCCAGGGCGGTGTGTTGCCTAACATCCAAGCAGTTTGTTGCCCAAGAAGACCGAAAAGAAGGCTTAAATTACTAATAACGAATTTACGCAAATCGAAACCAAACGTCCTTTTTCAGGACGACCAATTTATACAAAAGAGATGACTTTTTTCATACGTAAACTTCTAAATAATATGTATATAATAAGAATAAATAAAGGGAAAATTTACAGATGGTAGACGCTGAGAAAAGTACAGTCATCGCCATTCATTTAGTCATTTACTGTTTCTGTTCCATATTCCAAAGGTTTCAAATATGTTGAGCTGAAATATTGCTAATATTGCTGATATGTAAACTATAAATTTGGCAATGTACCCTTGAAATACACGCGAGTTTTCACCACAGCTTAGCTAAGATTTCTGTAACATCGAATATGAAATATGCACTTCTTTTTGATAGCTTCAAATTTTCATAAATGTCGAAACCAAATGGTTTAACTAGACGGAATTAATTCAATTTCTTGATCATTTCGTAGCCAATACTGAACATCAGCTAAATATATGCCCAATACCGATTTGGTTTGCGAAAAATGTATATTGAATTTTATATTTTCAAGCTCTTTTAGGGAAACATGTTGGTGGTCCTGAAAAGGACCGATTGGTGCGAGTGTAAGTTGCTTTTTATACTTCTTCTTTCCTACCGCCAAAGCCGTACAGTGTGCGACCTTGCCTTTTCAGCGCATAGACACATCCATGGCTGTGACTGTCTTCCTCTTGGCGTGTTCGGTGTATGTGACAGCATCACGAATAACATTTTCCAAAAAGACCTTAAGAACGCCACGAGTTTCTTCATAGATAAGTCCAGAGATTCGCTTCACGCCACCACGACGAGCTAAACGACGGATAGCTGGCTTCGTGATACCCTGGATATTATCACGCAACACTTTGCGATGACGCTTTGCACCTCCTTTACCCAAGCCTTTGCCACCTTTACCACGACCAGTCATTTTTCACTTTTTACTTTTTAATGAACACTTCACGAATGTCAGAAACAAACTAATGTCTGCATCGTTACATCCACTTCTATTTATACCGAGAAACCCGAAAACACGAGGGAGCACACAAATGCTTGCATCCCTCTCACACACTACCCTCTCAACTTGTAGAGTAGAGCGCATAGCATTTAACATGAGTAACGAATATGTCTATCTCTTTCTAACTCACCACCAGTTTTCTATATAAGCGATGCGTAAGCGAGCATCTCGATTATTGTGTTTTAACAGTGACAGTGTAAAGTAAGAATTGTGAAAGAGAGAAAAAAATGGCTCGTACAAAGCAGACCGCTCGCAAATCAACTGGAGGCAAGGCTCCTCGCAAGCAGTTGGCCACTAAGGCAGCACGTAAAAGTGCACCAGCTACTGGCGGTGTCAAGAAACCTCATCGCTATCGCCCTGGCACTGTTGCTCTGCGTGAAATTCGTCGCTACCAGAAGAGCACTGAATTGCTTATTCGCAAGTTGCCGTTCCAGCGTCTAGTGCGTGAAATCGCTCAAGACTTCAAGACTGACCTTCGTTTCCAGAGCTCAGCTGTGATGGCACTCCAGGAAGCTAGCGAAGCCTATTTGGTTGGCCTATTCGAAGATACAAACTTGTGTGCCATCCATGCTAAGCGTGTCACAATCATGCCCAAGGACATTCAACTGGCCAGACGTATTCGCGGCGAGCGCGCTTAAATTTCTTCTCTCTGCCTTGTACATATACAAATCGGTCCTTTTCAGGACCACAATATTTATAACAAGGAGATTCCTATTTTCGTTTAAACGACAATCATTTTGAATTTGAGTTGATATAAAAATAAAGGAAACGAGTATATAGGTTTATATTTACATAATAAAATGTAGGTTAGAGCAAATGTCACTAACTAGTCCTAGTCCTAGTCAAGTAATTGAGTAAGGATCTCAATATATTTTTGTTAAAGGGAAACGTTTCTTGCTTAATAAAAAAATGTGTATTTTTAAAGCGAATATCGAATGTGAACGTATCTATCGTTAATGTGTGATACGTTTGATGTAACTTAAGATAATATATTTCTTTTCTGAGATTTTCCTTTTATTTTATAAGCACTTCCTATTGAAGATAAAACTATATTAGTTTTTAAACATTTTAGCATTCTTCTTAATAAAATAAAGTGGCTTAGATGAAAAAATATTTTATCACTGTATTTCTTGGTGAGGGAGAAGTGTATATCGCATTATATATATAATATTACGATATGAAATGACTATAAGTTTGATGCAAGTAAAGAGAATAAAACATTTTTCTTCTAATATTATCTTTATTAACATATATTTATTGTTAAGGAGAAGATTTTATTTTTACAAACCATTTTTGTATTGCGTTGCCTCGAATGCAAGTCTGCTTTCAACACCAAATGGGTTAGTTAAAATCGCATTTAAAAGAGAAAGATATAAGGAATGTTCATATTAATAGTTGAATTTGACAAAAAAATTAATGAATTATTATCTGTCAACATAATTTGTTAACATTTTCATTATTATTTAATTAAAAATGCGATTTTTCCAAGATATCTTATTTTGCTATCATACAATGTCAAACTTTAGATGGCAATTAAAAATCGTTAAATCATATTTAACAAACTGAGAACTTATTTTTTCAATTTTTCAAACATTTTGGAATATGTTCAATTAACTATTTAGTTTAAATTCCATGTATAAATTGTTCAAAAAGATAAATCAATAAAATGGTAATTGTAAACTTCTGTGTAACGAACGTTCAATAGCAAAAACATTCTCGCGTAGCCTTCCTCCTCGATTCTCACTGAAACGGGTGACCAAAATGCCATGCCGCAGCTGGCAAATTTCGATTAAACAAAAACGTTGCATTTGTTTTTATAGTGAAGAAGTAAAGAAGTGCTGAATAAAAATGTCTGATTCCGTTGTTGCAGTATCTGCGTCTCCCGTGACTCCCCAAACAGCCTCAGCTGAGAAGAAGGTAGCTGCTAAAAAGCCAGCATCCGCATCCGCATCGAAGGCAAAGAAAACAACGGCTCCTCCAACACACCCACCAACTCAGCAGATGGTGGATGCATCGATACAAAATTTAAAGGAACGTGGTGGCTCATCCCTTTTGGCTATAAAGAAATATATCAGTGCCACTTACAAGTGCGATGCCCAAAAACTAGCCCCATTCATTAAGAAGTACCTGAAGAATTCAGTTGCGAATGGAAAGTTGATTCAAACAAAGGGCAAGGGTGCATCTGGTTCGTTTAAGTTGTCTGCATCTTCCAAAAAGGAGCCTAAGCCTAAGGTGTCCTCTGTAGAGAAGAAATCCAAGAAGGTAACTTCGTCGGCAGCAGCAGCTAAAAAGAAAACTATATCTGCTACCAAGAAACCAAAGGGAGTCGCTGATAAGAAGTTGTCGAAGGCTGTGGTGACCAAAAAGAGTGTTGACAAGAAGAAAGCTGAAAAAGCGAAGGCCAAAGATGCAAAGAAAGTTGGTACTATTAAAGCCAAGCCCACAACAGCAAAGGCAAAGTCAAGCGCAGCAAAGCCAAAAACTCCTAAACCTAAGACCACCAGTGCTAAGCCTAAGAAGGTTGTCGCGGCTGCGTCGCCAAAAAAAGCTGCTGCCAAGAAGCCAAAGGCAAAAACTGCGTCTGCAACAAAGAAGTAATTTCACATCGAAATATACTCTTCAGACAGAGTATGAACAAATTTCAAAACTATGAAATTTGCTATTAAACAAAGTCCTTTTCAGGACTACAATTTTATATATCCAAGAGAAAAAAAAATATTTTTCTACCTGTATCTTTCTTGTTGCTGTTAAAAGTAATATAAAAAGAAACGGATCCTATTTAGTCAGCAGCAATATTTGAAATATATTCGATGTTAATTTCTGTTTTCGTCAAATAGTTTTTACGTGTCCAACTTCATCATAATAAAAACGTAGGAAATTGTAGTGGGATATTTATGGAGTAACGATAATTTTATAGTTTTTCTTGAATAGCAAGCAAATATATTTGCTTCAGTAAGTTTTATACAATAAGAATTAAAGGTAATCTATTCAGAATCAGAATCAGAAATTTTGTTAGCATGGAAATATTTCATATTCTTTGAAAAAAGATTTGTGGCCCTGAAAAGGGCCTTTTGCTTTTGGGTGTTCTGCACACATCAAGCTAAGATTTACTTGGAGCTAGTGTACTTGGTAACTGCCTTTGTTCCTTCACTGACAGCGTGCTTGGCCAACTCTCCGGGCAACAGAAGACGGACTGCAGTTTGGATTTCCCGACTGGTAATCGTAGAACGTTTGTTGTAGTGGGCCAAACGAGAGGCTTCAGCAGCAATACGCTCAAAAATGTCGTTCACAAAGCTATTCATGATGCTCATGGCCTTTGACGAGATTCCAGTGTCAGGATGGACCTGCTTTAGCACTTTGTAAATGTAGATGGCGTAGCTTTCCTTCCTCTTACGCTTCTTCTTCTTATCATTCTTGGTAATATTCTTCTGGGCTTTGCCAGCCTTTTTGGCTGCCTTTCCACTTGTCTTAGGCGGCATGATTGTTATTATTCACTCAAGTTCACTTTAACTCACTTCACAAATGTTTGACAGAAGCACACAAATTGCTTAACATTTATAGGTTTTTTTTGTACAACGTTTTCATGTTTGCGCACAGCACAACTCACCCTCGTTTACCTGAAAAAGTAGGTAGTGAAAAAAGTATAAGTTGTCATATTGTTGAGAGGGCTGGGCATTCGATACTTGTTTGTGCAGTGTTAAAGTGAAAAAAAAAGAATTTAAGAAATGTCTGGCCGTGGTAAAGGTGGAAAAGTTAAGGGAAAGGCAAAGTCGCGTTCGAACCGCGCTGGCCTTCAGTTCCCCGTTGGTCGTATTCACCGTCTTCTTCGCAAAGGCAACTATGCCGAGCGTGTTGGTGCCGGTGCTCCAGTGTACTTGGCGGCTGTTATGGAATACTTGGCCGCTGAAGTTTTGGAGTTGGCTGGTAATGCAGCCCGCGATAACAAGAAAACCAGAATTATCCCTCGCCATCTGCAATTGGCCATCCGCAACGATGAGGAGTTGAATAAACTGCTTTCAGGCGTCACTATTGCCCAGGGCGGTGTGTTGCCTAACATCCAAGCAGTTTTGTTGCCCAAGAAGACCGAAAAGAAGGCTTAAATTACTAATAACGAATTTACGCAAATCGAAACCAAACGTCCTTTTCAGGACGACCAATTTATACAAAAGAGATGACTTTTTTCATACGTAAACATTCTAAATAATATGTATATAATAAGAATAAATAAAGGGAAAATTTACAGATGGTAGACGCTGAGAAAAGTACAGTCATCGCCATTCATTTAGTCATTTAGTGTTTCTGTTCCATATTCCAAAGGTTTCAAATATGTTGAACTGAAATATTGCTAATATTGCTGATATGTAAACTATAAATTTGGCAATGTACCCTTGAAATACACGCGAGTTTTCACCGCAGCTTAGCTAAGATTTCTGTAACATCGAATTCTTATTCGAATATGAAATATGCACAATACTTCTTTTTGATAGCTTCAAATTTTTCATAAATGTCGAAACCAAATGGTTTAACTAGACGGAATTAATTCAATTTCTCGATCATTTCGTAGCCAATACTGAACATCAGCTAAATATATGCCCAATACCGATTTGGTTTACGAAAAATGTATATTGAATTTTATATTTTCAAGCTCTTTTAGGGAAACATGTTGGTGGTCCTGAAAAGGACCGATTGGTGCGAGTGTAAGTTGCTTTTTATACTTTCTTCTTTCCTAACCGCCAAAGCCGTACAGTGTGCGACCTTGCCTTTTCAGCGCATAGACAACATCCATGGCTGTGACTGTCTTCCTCTTGGCGTGTTCGGTGTATGTGACAGCATCACGAATAACATTTTCCAAAAAGACCTTAAGAACGCCACGAGTTTCTTCATAGATAAGTCCAGAGATTCGCTTCACGCCACCACGACGAGCTAAACGACGGATAGCTGGCTTCGTGATACCCTGGATATTATCACGCAACA